AATTTGTAAGAAATAAATTGATCAAAATACCCTTAAAATATTACAGGGATATTTTGATCACTTTATATTTTTTTAAATATCTTTATTAGTTGCACTTGATGAGAAGAATGGACGCCTAAAATTTCAAGTGATTTGGATTTATACAAAAAAAAAAAATTTAAATTCAAATATGAAATGAAGTCGTGACCATCAGATCGGCTCGGATTCATTCTGGGTCGTTGGGCTCAAATGTTTATTTGATCAATTCAAATACAAAATGAGGTCGTGACCCATCAGATCGGCCCAGATTCAATTTGGGTTGTTGGGTTTATATATTCATTTGAGCTAGTGGGCTAATCTCATCTTTTCCCATATATATATATATAAAGTTTATATAGAGCAGAGGCTCTAAACAATCAAATTAGAACCTACTTCAAAATTTTCACTAGAAGAGATTGTTTTGATGCCCAAATATCCTCAAATTGATCATCTGAACATCAAGATGTATAGATATGGAAAAAAATGGATTTTTTAGTTTTGAAAATAGCGTATTTTGTAATGTATTTTTGGACCATCAATTTTCAAGTTTTTAAAGTTTTCATAGATCTATCGATTTACATTAGTTTTGAAACTTTAAACTTTATAAATAAAGATGAAATATATTTTAAGGCTATCACAAAGATTTCCAATGTTGAAACCACATTTCTCGACACTATTTGAGGAGAAGCACTAATTTGATTGTTTAAAGCCCAGGCTCTATACAAACCACACCCTAAATAGACTCTAATTTGATTGTTCACGGCCTTTCAAATTACAAAGATTCAAGATAGAGAGAGTTGTGAGGGTGAATTTATTAATTTTGTAGTCTATTTTTAAAAAAAAGTTACTTTTGTGGGGTAATTTTGTAAATATTACTACAAGACCAATGGTACTTTTATTATCTTTGTAAGGGGTAAAATTGAAATTTTAACTAAAAGACAATGGCACTCTACAAACAAAGTTTCAGGACACTAACTTTTAAACTGCCATTGTATTTTTATGAAAATTTCAAATTTGCTAATGCTTAATGGTAAAATTACCTATTTAAATAATTTTTTAATAAAAAAGTAATGATTGTTTTGATAAATATACTCATCACAACCGCTTCTTACTTAAACCTTTGTATTTTTAGGGGTTGTTAACTCTAGACAAACCCTTATATATATATAGAATTTTTAGGGGTTGTTAACTCTAGACAAACCCATATATATATATATATATATAGAAAATGCTGGGATTAGCTCACTAGCTCATATGAATATATTAGCCCAACGGTCCAGATTGAATCTAGGCAGCCGATCTAATGACCACGGATATTTGGTAGTATTTAAATTTTATTTATTTTTCTATAAATCTTAATCATTTGAAATTTTAAGAGTATGTTCATAAAAAATAGTTGAATCTTTAAAAAATATCAAAAAACTATTTTACAAGAAATAAATTGATCAAAATACCCTTGAAATGTTTTGGGGGTATTTTGGTCATTTGGTTTTGGTGATTACTGTTTTATTTTTTATTTTTATTAGATGCTCCTTGATGAAAAAAACACACACCTAAAATTTCAAGTAATTTGAATTTCGTAACGATCAGATCGGTCCAGATTCAATCTGGGCTATTGGGCTCATATGCCCAACAGCCCATATTCAATATGGGCCGATCTGATGATCACGACCTCATTCCGTATTTTAATTTTAATTTTTTTCTTTAAATCTAAATCATTTGAATTTTATATGTGTGTTCTTTTCATCAAGGCGCACCTAATAAAAAGATAAAACACATTATTCGTAAAACAAAAGTGACCAAAATACCCTTGAAAACTTTCTGGGTTATTTTGATCAATTTATTTCATGTGAAATATTTTTTTGATATTATTAAAAGATTCAATTGTTTTTTATTAACACATTCGTAAAATTTCAAGTGATTTGGATTTGTCAAAAAAAATTTAAAACTCAAACACTACCGAATATCCGTGATCGTCAGATCGGCCCAGATTCAATCTGGGCCGTTGGGCTCATATGAGATAGTGAGCTAATCCCAGCTTTTTCATATATATATATATATATATATATATATATACTATTTATATATATTTATTTATTTATATTTATTTATTTATTTATATTTATATATTAAATTTTTTTCAATTTTATTTAGGTAATTAAATAGATCAAAACTTGCTGGTCCGACCAACCAAAACCGATCAAATATTAATTTTGATCAATTTTCAATAAAACCCAATCTTTATTTTGAACTAGACCCATCATGACACTATTAAGCCGTTGAACTAATCCGACAACCGAGTCGGTCCCCTCATGACAACTCACAGATTTTCCACAAACGATCCTCAAGAAGACCTTCCAAGTGGAAAGGGCACTATCCTCATTTTTGCACTTATTTGCGCATACAAATGACATGATTACCTCACCTCTAGGGAGTTCGTTGTCGCGGTGTGACCATCATCTGCATGGACTTCACTGTAAACTGCGCTTCTACAATATGTGTTAAACTGTTCAGCAGTGGGAGCAGATATATCTTATTTGTCTTAAAACGCAACCAAACAGGCCAATAAGCTCATAACATTTCACTTATAACTCGATTTTGGGTAAGGGTGGCAATGGGTTGAGCTTGAACCGGACTTGTCCTAGACAGGCTGGGCTAAAATTAAATGAAAAAAAAACAAGGCAAAAAAGAGGACCGGATTGGGCTGGACAAGGACAGACCTTGGCCCAAGGGTTTGGCTTTGTTTCCTAGGCTTTACTTTTTTAGGGTCGGGTTGTGTGGGCTGAACAGGGCCGCTCAGCCCATCCACATCCCTTTCTTGGCATATGATCACTAGTTAGTAAGCTATCAACGAGCTCTACAACACCAAATCCATTATATGCTAATTTTGTCTATGGAAAATTAGGGAAAAAAAAGATTCTTAATTTTCGAAAAGATTTTCAAATCTTTTAAAAGCCAAATTTCATAAAATTAAATAAGGAATTATATACAATGAGACCATATACCTTTGGTACAAGGGGGTGACAATAACTTATAACTATCTAATGTTAAATCTTATAGCTTAGGTGTATTACAAAGTTTGAAAAAATTTGTTTTGAACTTTGAGCTCAATCATTGGAATAAATGTAGCCATCCAATTTCACATATAATAGCCAACGTTAATTCTGGCCATCTTATACCAAAGACAAATGGTCCCATTACACTAAATAATTGCTTTGAAATTTAAGATGAGAGAAAGATGGAGATGAAAGGTCGATGTTCCCACTTTTCAGGATGGAAAGGCTAAACATGAGGTATCTCCATGGGCAAGCCAAGGTTGCAGGAACCGTGATTTGTATTGGTGGTGCTATCATACTGTCCTCGTACAAAGGCCCTCCTTTGATCACACTCAATCACTACCACTCTTTTCATGCTGCTTCTCTTCCTACAACTCCGAAGAAAGAGTGGGCCAAAGGGGTATTTCTCATGCTCACTTCCAATGCAGGATGGTCCTTGTGGCTCGTTTTGCAGGTTGGCCTTCCACTTTCAATGCTGCTCTCCCATCTCTCTCTCTAACACACACTCACGTATTTAAATTCAAGAAAATAAGATGTCAATTTTGGGTCGAGCTAGCAATGTGCAAGGCTGTCCAACCTGGTCGGCCCTGTTGAAAAATCGGGATAACCCAATCACTATTTTTGAGCTAATCGGGATATCTCAAATCCCATTAAATGTGAAAAGCACTCCACCACAATAATTTCAATCCTCAAATAATATACCCAAGATGCAATAACAAGTCCAATATAATTGAAAAAAATATAAACAAATAAAACGAGCAATATGAGAAATCTTCAAATCACAACACAAATGAAAATAGAGAGGGACACACATATACGTGGTTCACCCAAGATGGGTTACGTTCATAGGCAATATGGCAAAAGTGTATTCACTATCAAGAGGAAAATTTACAAGATTGGGGTTATACAGAATTACCTCATACAATTCAAAGAACGATCAAACAAAAAACTTCTTACCATAAAACTACCTACAATCGACTCATTTTTTCGATTCACCGATGCCACGAAGAAATGCCGACAAAATGGCCCAAGATGAGCATCAAATGGTGGTGCTAGGGTTTTGTTGTAAAAACCCTCAATTTCCAACCCCAACTTCTCTCTCTACAAGGTTTTTCTTCCGTCCCTCATTCACCCACATTCTTGACGAGATTACCCTTTATCAAAAGGGTGAATGACATGGGGGTGATTTAACATCACTCCCCAACAGCCCCAGCCCTAAAAAAGTAGCGCCCGAGGGCGGGCAAAGACCAGTGCCATTTTGGCTCTCTTTTTTATTCTCTTGATGTTTTACTTATGTTTGCTTCATTTGTTTTTTGGCCCAACCAGACCCTAATAGGGGCCAGGGTCGCGCCTGGGTTGGTCCTACAAGGACAAGGGCTGCGCCAGGGCCAAGGTAGGCCTGGCCATGAGTCCAGCCCTTTGGCACCCTTAATTTTGGGTCCATATCCATCTCTCTCTCTCATATGTCTCAAAAGGCAAATGCTATATTTGGTTTAGTAATGTTGATAACCATGTGTGTGTTAGGTTCCCTTGATAAAGTCATATCCCTCAAAATTAACTCTGACGACCCTACAATGCTTTCTAAGTGCCCTTCAATCTGCTGTTGTGGCATTCGCGGTCGACAGAAGAGCGTCTTCATGGAAGCTAAATTGGGATCTCAATCTCATCTCCGTCGTCTACTGTGTAAGTCTCTTATTCACCCTCCCCTCTAAAGAATGGACATACATACAATAAGATTATTTAAATATTTGTATAAGGAGATCACATTGTTAGATTTGAAATTGAAGGGCTAGGAATATGGGAATTGTATATAATGAGACCATTTCGTTTTGATACAAGGAGGTTACACAATCATTATTGACCTTTGTATATGAAATCGAGCGGTCATAAATGTGTTGTTGATTGGGTACATAATCCAAAAAAAAATTTCTCGAATGTTGTAACACACTTCAATCTATTGGATTTCATATCTAATGGCTACAAATAATTGTGATATCTTTGCATAAAAAGTAAATGGTCTTATAGTATACAATCCCGAAATGTGCGACTGATCATCCTTAAAATTCAAAGAATTTTTTTTCAAACTCTAAAATAGAGTTGAAGTTGTTTGATTTGACATTTGATGGGATATGATTAGTTGTCACGACTTTATGTCAAGTCAAACACACTTCAATCTATTGGATTTCATATCTAATAGCTACAAATAATTGTGATATCTTTGCATAAAAAGTAAATGGTCTCATAGTATACAATCTCGAATCGTGCAACTGATTATCCTTAAAATTCAAAGAAATTTTTTTCAAACTCTAAAATAGAGTTGAAGTTGTTTGATTTGACATTTGAGGGGTATGATTAGTTGTCACGACCTTATGCAAAAGATGGATGGTCTTATAGCATAGACGCTTAAAAGTATTTTTGTTATATCGAAAGGGTTTGTATACTACCATTGCGTTGTGTTTAGAAACACTATGCCAGCTGATCCTAGATCTCCATAATATCTTTTGGCTATATAATTTGGTCTAGTTCCTTTACAAGTTGGCACTATAAATACAAATTTGATCCATGGTACCATTGTATGTGATATCGATATTCATAATATGAATGTACCTGAATAAAATTTGGGGAAAAAGACATAAAACCTCCTCCAAAATTATATCCAAATAACATCTTGATCCATTAAATATCCTATAGAACTTCCCAAGTTGAATAAAAAAGAACATTTAATTCCCTTATTACTTTTTTCATTGTCCAAATTTCAAAATCCAACATTTTTTTTTGTTTTTTAATAACCTCTTCATAAAAATCGAGTTTGTGATGCATCTTTTAAGTTACTTGTGACTTATGTATGTGAGAGAGAGAGATAAGAATTCAGGGAAGGTTGCTGGAGAGAGGGAGGAAAAGTTCCCCAACTGAAGAAAATAGAGAAAGAGAGAGTTTTTCCTGGATTTAGATAACATGGTGATTAAGAAAAAAGAATGATAAATTCTCTAATTTGGACAATAGAAAAAGTAAAGAAAGAGTTACACATCTTTTTTTTGTTTAACTTAGGGATTTCATGGGATATTTATAGGATCAAAGGGTTATTTGGAATTACCACTTTAGATGGAGGATTTATGTCTTTTTCCCAAAAATATTTTATATGATAGCCTTTAATTTTCAAATTAGTTGTCCCATGCATGTATCCCATATGCCCTTCTTCTGTCCTCTAGATTTTTCAACAACATGGGTATTCATAAGCTACTTTTTTATTCTCCCACACATTAATTAGACATTCTTGAGATTTTATAGAGTTTTATTTTCAACATTTTTAGAATTAAAACATTCTAAAATTCTCTTGTAAAAGTATCTCGTCAGCCCGGTTTGCTTTTCTGGAAATGGGTGCCTAGGGAGATGCCCCTTATGGAATTGGCATCTATTGGAATGATGGTGTATGCTATTTGGATAGCATTTGGTAAGGGACCTAGAAGATGCATGTCCACTGTTCGAATTGTTTGGAAGATATGTCTGTATGAAATTCAGGTATCTGATTATACCATTTTTCTTTTCTTGGTTTTTTAAGTTCTAACATTCTTAATATTGTGTAATTCTTATTATCGTGGTTAGATATTTTTTTGTTGTTTTTTACAAGTGAAGAATAAATGACCGCATTTTAAAATTGCTGAGTAGGAATGATAGAGAGAGATTGCGGAATTGACAGAGAGATAGAGAGAAAGGGGAGAGATGTTATGGAGATAACGAGAGAGAGAGGGAGAGGGAAACATAGAGAGCAGGTTGAAAAAGAGAGTGGGAGAGGTTACAAAGTTAATGAGAAAGATGAAAAGGGTAAAGATGGAGAGAGACAGAGATACATCAGTTCGACGTAGATAAACATAAAGATGTTACAGAGACAGGGAGAGAGTGAGTGAGTGGTTCAATGAGGGTTTTTTAGTCTGGACCTCAACCACACTATCAAAAGGTATTTTACTGCAAAATTTTGATTCCAGGAAAGCATTCTCATCTCCCAGCAATGTTAATTCCACCAACTTTGGTGGGATTGACATTTCTACAAAATGGGCTCAAAACATGGATACCAGTCTCCTCGTGAAGACATGAATACAGCCTTGGCAGTGTGTATCCAAACGCAAGAAACGACTGGTATCCATGGAATTGAGTCTCCTTGATTCCCATTTCTAGCAAACCAAACCTCGACTCAAAGATATCTTGAGAATGAGATTTAACTCCAAGTTGCATTTAATGGCAGGGCGTGGTTGTCACCGGGGTTACCCATTGGTTACAGCTATGGTGCATAGAGAAGAAAGGCCCAGTCTTCACAGCCATGTTCCATCCAGTAACTCTACTAATAACTGCAATTTTCTCAGTCATCTTGTGGAATGAATGGATCTACTTGGGAAGGTTTGTTATGCTATTTTGATGAAGCTTTCTTTAATTTCCTCTATCATACAAGTTTTGGAGAAATATTAAAATATCAAACGGTACTATAGTTTATTTTTAGTACATGAGAGTCATAATCACTTAGATATGAATTTTCGTAATAAGAAATATGCTACTAATCATTCTCATAGTCTTGAAAGAAGTTTCTCGAAGTTTTTTGACACTCTTGGCTTCTTGATTTCACATTTACTGATTAATTGTGAACTTCTTGTAGAAAAGTAAATCGTCGTTTAGTATACAATCCCTTAATCTACAAACGGTCTACTGGGGAAAGTGTACTATATTCCGCATGATTATGATACTATTATTTCTTACCGTCATGATAAAATGAGCAATTGGATGGTGATGACCCTCATGATCTATAATCTCGAGGACATTATGCTTTTTGTGTTGGGTGCGTTTTGTGTAGAGCCTAGGCTCTAAACAATCAAATTAAAGCCTACCTTCAAATAGTGTCGAGAAATGTGGTTTCAATATTGGAAATCTTTGTGATAGACTTAAAATATATTTTTATATTTATTTATAAAGTTTAAAGCTTAAAAAATAGTGTAGATTGATAGATCTATAAAAACTTGAAAAATCTTGAAAATTGACGGTCCAAAAATGCATTACAAAATACTTTATTTCTAAAACTTGAAATCTGTTTCTTTCATGTGCATACATCGAGATGATGAATTTGAAGATATTTGGGCATTAAAACAACCTCTTCTATTGAAATTATTGTGATAGGCTCAAATTTGATTATTAAAAGCCGCGGCTCTATATAAACTTTTCCCTTTTGTTCAAATCCATTCATCTGCATTTGGAATGGGGTTGTGAGTCCCATCATAGTTCTCTGACAATAATAAGATCCACCTACTAATTCAAGGGAAAATTTTCTATACTTTTTTGCCACATATATCTTATGTACTTCCCCCATCTCTGTATCGTGAATGAATGGATAGCGAAGATGGCTCCAATCACATTCCACATCTATACACTGTTTTATTTTTTATTTTTCTACGAGATATTTTTACACCAAGTTTGGGGTATCCACTCCTCTCCTAAACTCACACCTACATAAAACATAAAAAAACTATTTTCAAAATAAAATGTTCAAAATATCTTTGAAATTTTTAAGGGTATTTTGATCATTTTATTTTTAAAAATATATTAAAAATATTTTATTTAGGTACACCTCATGGAGATAATGGCACATACTAAATTTTCTCATATAATTAGTAGATAAAATTAAAAATAAAATACTTTGAGACAACTAAACTAGATCATACGATAAGTGGCTCACTTGTGAAATTTTGAGACAAGTAGCCTCAACTATCCATTTAAATAGGACAGCTGGACAGGAGAGGAAGTATATAGCCCCTAATTCAATGTGTTTAGATTGGACGGTGATGCAATCAATATTATGTGTATATTTTCTTGATGTTGAATCTATGCTCAGGGAAGGAAAGGCCTGGTATTTTGTTACTAATGGTGTACAACACTAAATACCTAGATCTAACCTTCCAAAAAATGTGTGATTTTTGTACACTCTAGGGAAAACATATTTTCAAGCAGCTTTAAGGCGCAATTTCCTGTTCTTTTCCTTTTTTGTTTTTTTTGAAACGGCCATTAATATGAGAAAATTAGATCCCCCAATTCTGGGGTTCAAGAAACAAGTTAGATTTTTTTCCCTATGGGAGCAATTTAACTTTTTGTTCATTCAATAGCATGTAATAATTTCTAGGGAAAAAATTGTTTGGAGCCCCAATTTTCTAATGAAAAATAGTTTCATGTGGATTGGACCGCATGAAATGGTTCAAAGGTATAAACCATCATTAAAGATGGATGCAAATGGGTGATTCAGCTAAATCAAGTGCAACTAACGGTCTATATGTTTTTTTTTTTTTTACATTCATGATCTCCATATTAAATATTATATATTTTTTAAAAATTAGAATCAAATTATATTTTAAAAATATATTTATTGTGAAGCCTGCATTTCTACAGTATACAGACCGGTCGTATAGAAACCATGCCCTTTTCTAATATATCTTGGCCACACAACTTTTCTATTTCACAGACGTTAAATTTCTCGTAGAACTATTGACGTACCCCTCCCTCCCCTCTTTTCGTACTTCTTTTACATGAAATATACCATCAACAATTATTTTATACTGCATAAGGTAGAAAAGAGATGGGAGGAGAGTGTTCATACGTGGTATAGGAGAAATTGTTGATGTTAAATTTCATGTAGATTCTTAGATCTTTCTTAAGTTCTTAACGAGGTTGTGCTTTATGCCATGTTGGAAAAACCGGGCGATCTAATCGGCAATCGTCGGGTTAGATTGGAACTAGCCAGTGGCCGGTTTCAGTTTCGAGCGGTTTTGGTGATCGGTTGGTATTTTTTAAAAAACATAAAAAAAGTATATATAAAATCTCAAAAATAAAGAATTTGGTTTGTAATACATTTTTTAATATTCTTTACATTATTGTAAAGATAAAAAATTGTTTTGGTAATTAATACTGAGTTTTATATTTTCCCATATTTTCTAAAAAAAATTTAAAATATCCCTAGGCATAAATCAATTCTTTAAAACCCAATTTTTTTTCCTTAATTTTCAACTTCATTTGAATTTGTTTTGTTTTAATCATTCTTTATATACTTTTCATATTTCAACAGATTTTTTTTGTGTCTTTTTTATTTTTTTTCAACAATTTTTTGACCACCCAGACTTGCCCGGTTAGAACGGTTGAATAGGCCAGTTTACCGATTAGGCCGATTAAACTGCTTCCAACCCCATTAACTAGTTAACCATTCCGATTCGATTTTACGAAAACTGGTTTTATGTGCATTTCCATTTTTGTTTTCAATGGACAAGCCATCGGGGGACTTTTACACAACTACAAAGGTGTACGTGCCTCTAGTGTGCATATTGGGTGATAACAAGTATATATTTTATTTTGAAGGGAAAAGTTTATATTGAGGCTACACCAAATATTTCATTAGAAGAGGTTGTTTTGATGCTCAAATATCCTCAAATTAATCATCTCGACATCAAGATTCATGGACACGAGAAAAAATAGATTTCAAGTTTTGGAAAATAGTGTATTTTGTAAATACATTTTTTGACCGTTAATTTTCAAGATTTTCAACTTTTCATAGATCTATCAATCTACACTATTTTTAAAGCTTTAAAATTTATAAATAAACATGAACATATATTTTAAGGCTATCACAAATATTTCTATTATTGAAACCACATTTCTCGACACTATTTGAAGGTAGGCTCTATACAAACTGCACTCTTTTTTGAAAAGTGTAGGTAGGGGTCAGTGGTTAGTTTGGTCCAGGTTGACTCGAAACCAAACCCGACCCGGCCTAACAAAGTTTTACATGGACTTGGATCCAGGTTTGGTTGAGTCATGTGGACCCGGACCCAACCCACTGGGTCCAAAATATAGACTTGGACCTGGACTGGGTTTGGGTCGATTTCCTAGATCCATCGATCCACCCGAACCGAGTGCCACCCGTAATTGTAGGTTATTATAAATATTACATTTTATGTTTTCACAATATAGACTATATATAGAATGGATAAGACAATTATTATCCGCAAGGAAAATATTAAATGATGCACTATTATTATCATGAGTATACGACAAGCACCCTTCCTATGGTTGAGATCTCCTATGGATCTATCCAACGGCCAAAAATTAGTCTCATGTTTTAATTTTCCTTTTTTATTTAAATTACTAGTACCAAACTTCATATTTATATGCTCGGACCCCTAAATTTGGGGGTGTATTCTCAATATAGCCGCCAAGCTAAAAGAGAAAACAAAAAACAAAAGTTCAGTAGCACTATAAATCTGCCTTAAAAAAATATAAAATGTTTTAGGATTTGAATACATATTGCGTACAACAAATTTAACCGTTTACCAACTGAAAATATTTTTTTTGTTTTTTTATAAAAAATACTTATTTAAGTTAATCTCAATTAATTGAAAAAAAAGTGTGATGATGATGAGTTTAGAAAATACTGATCTAGGTGATTCTAAGTGATCCTCAAGTTTTAATAATAACATTATCCTGAAGCCTTAGGGAGGGTAGAGTATGATCTCACGAGAGCACCACGATATTCGTGGATGTATGATGCCTATAATCAGAAATATGCTACATAGTTATAGAAATAACCATGGCCATGTGATTCATCACTCATTCGTTAACTGCACATTTGTGTCCTTGATAAATTAATTTTTACGATGTTCTTCCCTAGAAATGTGGCATCCACCATGATTTCCAACAATTGACATAAAAAATGGGGGAGAAATATTTCTATCACCCCATGTTTTGCCTCATTTTCTGGGTAAAAATCTTCCAACTAAATAATTAAAGAAATTATTCTCTGAAAATGAGTATTCTTCCCCTGATCAAAATCTTCTCCTACAAAACCAGGCACTTTCTTTCTCCCACAAATCCTCAATTACCTCTGTCATTGAAATTTTCAACATATTTTTTTCCAAGAAGCCAAATAGCTTGGACTTAAAATATATAGTGTGATCTGATCGACTCAATTAGCAACCAGGATAGCACTGGTGCCACCCAGGTGGCCCTGCCCTAACAAACTAGAGCCTGAGCCACAGAATCTGGCCTCATAATAGGACCGAGGCCAGGCCGGACCAAAGCCCTGATAGGGTCGGACTGGTTTGGCCTAGTTTTCCATCTTTTTTTTCAATTTTCTTTAACTTATTTTACTTTTTATCTAACCTGGCGTGGCCCAAATAAAACTAGGGTCGGACGTGGGGCAGGGCCTGTTTGTCCCAATCAAGGTTGGGATGGGCCCGGGCAGGTCCTATAGGGACCAAGCCCCGCCTAGCGGCCAAGGACCGGCAAGTTGCTAGCTCTGTGAACCTTATCTACATTCTATATGTATGAACTTAGATAAATGGTGTTTTTCTACAGTGTAATTGGTGGGCTGTTGATAGTGGGCGGTCTCTACGGTGTCTTGTGGGGTAAGAACAAGGAGGACAAAGTGCCCCATAAGGACAGGTTACCTATACCATCGGAGGCCAAAGGAACACCCTGATGCCTACCCCCCTCTCTTTCTCTCTCTCTTTCTCTCTCTTTGCATGCTCAAAAGCTTCAAATGTAACATTTTAAGTTTGCTCTCTACCTGTAACTTTTACTGCTCTTGATATAAAGGAAATAGATCAGCATTGAATGAGCGAGACAAAATTTCTTGTTTAAAGGGCAATGAGAATGGCCAGACAACGTCTAAGGTCAAGGACTCATTTTTATGCCACTCTATACCATAGTTATCAGGTCTTTGATTAAAACTTCTTAAAACATTTCTTCTTTTCAGGCAACCAGAAATTTGCTATTTCTTTTTGGATCATTTTTTAGTTGGAAATGCTATTGGGCAGGTGGAGGAATTGGAAGTTCTCCCCCATCCCATTGTAAATGTTATGCTTCCATTGTTTGCACTTTTTTGTCATCATGAAAACATGACAAAATAACTAAATTACCTCAACCATTCGTTTTTTAAATTGGATTGAGATGACATTTTGTGAATGTGTGCCCATCAGGCATGTATATAAAAATAAATAAATAATAATTTGCGAAGTCTGTGAGAGCAGAGGCGTCTTGCGCAAGTCGGAAAGGAAGGAGGCCGAGTCAAAGAAGCGGAGGCATTCCGAGGTTGCTGAGCAGGAAGGCAAACAACACCGATGAAAGGCATGCACACAGAGCTTAGTATCATTGTGTTGAGCTTGTGGCGAGAAGGCCCTGGAGATTGATCCCAGCATGTCTTGGTACCACCATCCTCTTGCACCAAGAAAGAAAAAGCAAAACAAAGAAAGAAAGGAAGAGCAATGTATAAAAGTATTTGCCCAAAGGAGGAATCCTAGAATTCCGTCAGTTTTTTGGTTATGGAAAAGTATTGATCTTCAAGAACGAGAATCTCATGATATGATGGGAATCTCTTAAGATAACCACCCATGCCTGAAATATATCTTGATGCCTAAAAGTTGGATTGGTTAGCCACTAGGCAAAGATTATATGCCCTTAATTTCTATGAGATGCAAGATGCTCATTGAACTATAAGAAACTAATCTCCGCTTCTATGGTCCGGGCACTACCCTATCTCTCGCTCTCCACACCTCTCTTTCCCTCCTTCTGTGTAGGCAAAGCCTTCCCTTGCCAAAGTTGAGAAGCTGCCCTCCTAAACAATCAGTCAAGCCATTCGGTCAAGTACGGCGGCAGACAAGCGCCTTTTGGTATTGAATCAACGAATCATTCAAAAGCACTTTGAATCCTGCAAAGGACAATGCACCAAAGGAAAAGAAAAAAGCTCTGCACCCTAGTCTAGAGCACCCCATTCTTAATCCTACCCTTTTCGATCATATCGAGTCCTCATGGACATCAGAAATGCAAACCGATCCCAACTGAGCTCCTGAATTGATCAAATAGAACCTCTTTAGTGAATTTCTAAAAACAGAAAAAGGCACATTCAAACAAAAGATTGAATATGAATATCTCAGGTCAGAGAAGTGGAAATAATGGAGACTAAATGCAATAGCAATAGCGCACCTAAGCCAACAGGCACGAAGGAAGGCCAATTGTTGAGTAAAGGGGTGCGTAAGGTTTGGGTTAAGAATCTTAAGCTTAGGAGGAGGATCTCTGGATTTAGCAAGCCAAGCACAAGAATCGGCATCGTTACCTACTGGCCGGTGTTTTGAGTCTTTTGCAACTCAAACACATCTTAGTATATTCCGGATACCAAGTAAGAAGTAATTAGATATCATGACGACTGATTTGAATCTCTTTTTCCATATTCAAGAATAGTTACCGATTCAATAAATCCCTGGTTTACTGAAATAATCGATTTCTCTTAATTTTTAATAAATAACTTCCTAAATAGCTATAATGACTTTGCCAATGCTAATTTGTTAAGAATCAATTGGATTGAAACTATAGCATCATCGTTGACTTAGCACATTCAGTTTTCTTCTTGCTAGCGTGCCCTGTAGCTTTTCTTCTCATCACACCCTTCAACAATGAGGGCGAAGAGTGCTAGGCAAGACAAGCCTACACTGTGATATAACAGAAAAAAAGAAAGGAGTTGCTTATTACGCTGCCCTCCTGCTATCCACTGCCTGAGAGAGGCACTATCCAGGTCGTCGGATTACCTGTCTTCATTATGGAAGCACTACCAATCTTCTTCTTTGCTGACACCCCCAAATATGTGATGGACATTCATCTCTGAGGAAAACAAACCCAAAAGGAACCGGTCGAATGATGTGACATGAAGTTGAGCCCTCTGCTGGAATGCTTAAGACGTAGAGAGAAGCATATGATGAACTTGAAGTTTCTCCATGTTCTCGCGATAAGACCATGGAGATAGATAAAGAAGTATTGAGTCCTATATATGGATTGATTGCTCTACCGGTGAGGTCAGCTCCAATTGTTGGTATAACTTCCATTGAGTCTTTGCACTTATCCTTTCCTTTGATTCCTACTGCACTTATCCTTTCCTTTGATTCCTACTTGCTAATAACTTTTGTTTTCTGTAAATAGGATTTGGCTTAGGATTGCCCATTTATCAATCCAACTAGGTTTTCATACCACACCACTTAGTAGGTTTTCATACCAAGGTTCAATTAAATTAAGTGCAAGCATGTACCAATTTCACCGTATCCACTCAAATATAATGGAATGGTGGAAATTCCTCTCAAAGTCGCATGGGGCATTTCAATCATTTTATTTTTATAGTTTATTTTAATATTTTTATAGGTCTGTTATATTTAGATGTATATTTACCCAAAATTTTAGCTCAATCAAATATAAATAAAAGGCTTAAAATTGAAATATTCAAATATGCTATGCCCATTGCAATCAAGGTCTAACCGAAGAGATCACTAAAATTTTAGGTGAACCAGAGTGTGAAGTTTCAAAGTTAATATATGTATATGTTTATGAGTGTTATAAATTCTCTTAAAACTTCGTTTACAATTTTTTAATACAATCATCCATCTCATTTCACATGCCAGTAATTTCGTGCTCGGAATTTCATTTTCCTTTTTATACCAATTTATTCCTAAATAAGTATATATAATGTTTTAAATTCCAGTGCCTAGTTCTTAAACACCTATTAATTTCACTCCTCCTCTTCTATACCTTTATTCTAAAATCCAAGTTGACCTTACAATCTTTAGAGGATGGTCGATCTGCCTTCTTAGCTAGAAAGAAGTCTATTTGACTTTTATACGATGCATTTTTTACAAGCAATTAAACATTTATCTCTTTTTTTAAAGTACGTATTTGCTATTGCTAGGTTTTAAGTTACAACACAATCTAGAATAGCATCGCCCATCTCAAATCCTTCTTGAAAACCATATCCTCCATGCCCTCTATCATACTATCTATTATCTTTTCTTATATGAACATTTAAGTCACCTTCTAACAACGTCCTTTCTCCATTAGGTATTCTTTGGACTAATCTATCCATGTCCTCCTAGAATTGTCACTTAATATTATTATCTAGTTCTACATATGATACATAAGTACTAGTTACGTTAGTTATCTCATCCTTTAATAAAAGTTTAATTAATAAAAAAAACTATCACCTACTCTTGTGATATCAACTGCTTTATCCTTAAATCTTTATCTGTCATTACGACTATGTCATCTCTATTATTATCTTTTTCTATGTGCCAAAGTTTATATCCATCGATTTCCTTAGCTTTTGCCCCTTTCTACTTATTTTCTTGTAGGCATACTATGTTAATTCTCCTTAATCTCGTTGTATCCACTAACTTCACAATCTTATCCATAAGAGTTCCTACATTTCATGTGATTCATCGAGTCATATTATCTTGGACTACTTTCTTTACTGGTGCTCGTCCAAAATGACAGGAGAACCCCTGCCTAATGACCACAACCGGGTGTTGTTGTTGTGCATCACTTCAAGGGAATGCCCTAGCCAATCACTGCTCATTTCTTACACCCGAGTTCTGATATAATGCATCTCTTATATAATGCTTAGCATGAGAATATAATATAGGTTCAAGGTTCATGAAAAAAAGTGGCAAAGTTTTAGATTGTTATGTATTATATATAAGTATCATAATTATAAAATAATATCATTGTCACAATATCTAGATAATAATATTATACCATAAAATTAATAGAAGGGTGAGGTTTGTATAAGGTGTCCATATTGAACAAGTAAAGCACATCTTTAAATTTTGCCAAATGATGTAGTTATGGTGTTAAAAATCCTATGGTAGCTTGAAAGTCTATGCTCAAACCTAATGATGAAATTTAAAATTTAAAAAGAAAAAAAGGTGAAAATTGAGCATATATATAGACTTTTCAAAATTTTAAAAAATAAACAGCCCAAATAACTTGTTATAATATGAACTATTTTTAGTACTTTGAAATTCTTTTTTTCTTATTATCATACATCTCAAGGTTAGAAGGTTTTCCAACTTCAATACACTCTTTTCTATTGAATTTTTTATATGCACAACATCGCTTATATAGTATAAGGTTGCAACCTTATGTAAACATTTGCCTCAATAGAATATGGTAATACAAATAAAATATTATAATAAAATAGACAACATTTTAATATCGAGATAGTACGATATTAATATAATAAGATAATAATCTAATGATGTTATATGTCATTATTATAATGTAACATTATTATGTTATAAGGTTAGTATTGCGTGCACATTCCATGAATAATTAATTAAAAGCCACACAAGCACTTTTTAAAGGTTCAGATTGAAACTAGCCTCATCCAAGGCTTAAAAATTATTTTATTTTTTAATTTTTAATTTTAAATTAAAATTTATATTTATCTAAATTTTGTGGTTGCAATTCATTTTTATAAGCATAATTAAATAAAATAATAAAAACTAATTTGAATGAAAGATTACCAAAATATATTTAGGTGTGTTTTGACCTGTCATTATTATAATGTAACATTATTATATTATAAGGTTAGTATTGCGTGCACATTCCATGGATAATTAATTAAAAGGTACACAAGCACTTTTAAAAGGTACAGATTGAAACTAGCCTAAAAATCATTTTACTTTTTCATTTTTAATTTTTAATTTTAATTGTAATTTTTATTTTTAATTTAAAATTTAGATTTATCTAAATTTTGTAGTTTCAATTCATTTTGTTGAGTATAATTAAATAAAATAATAAAAAATAATTTGAATGAAAGATTACCAAAATATATTAAGGTGTGTTTTGGCCATTTTTTATTTGAAATATTTTAATTAGGTTTTTAGTTCTCTTTATAAAAATAAACTTAATATAAATGTAAAATTTAAATAAAAATAAAGACAATTCTTAAAATATTTTTTGGTCATTAGGTATGCCTTGTGAAACCTCAATCATTGAAAGGGTGCTTGTGCACCTTTCCAACCATCTATCTCATGTCGACTTTGTACTTTTCCTATATTATAATATAATAATATTTTTATTAATTGATGATTTATGGTCTACGATGGCATTACACTTACACTTATAGATTAGAATGACAAAATATGATTCGTGTAGCCAACCTCAAATAGTTAAGATAAAGATGTGTGATGATGATGATGAATACTAATATTGATGAAAATGATGTTTCATAATAAAAAATTATTTAAGTAAATATTAAAGTGAGCGCTATTTTAAATATGAATATATTACAAATAAATGCTAATATTAAATATGTATACCATAACTATATAATAACACCATTATGGTGATATTTATAAAATATTATAATATCATAACATATATTATAATAAAGCGAAAATGACGTATATATTCATTACAATTTCTGTTATTACATAATTACCAAAAATATTATCTTATTACATCGATACCCAGTTTTTCCTTACACGACAATATTTTAAAAAATTGATGAAACTGTATTTTATGATTTTTCAATAACTGAATTATTCAAATTTTAGAAATTTCAAGAACTGAAAATATTAAGTTTTCGATTTTAAAAAACCTGAATTTCGACATTTATTAGTAATTGAAGATCCGAATTTATGTTTACGGTTATTCAAAACCTAAAAATCCTTTTATGATATCTAGAGAGCTACTGGAAAATGCAACATTTATTTCAAATCTGCAACAACCGAAAACATTAAAATTTTGGTTTTTCAATAATAAAAAAACAGTGATTTTCGTTATTCAAAAACCAAAATCCTTCTATGATTTTCATGGAGTTACTGAAACATGCAACATCTATTTTGGTTTTTCAAAAACCAAAAACATTGGCATTTCGATTTCTTCGAAACCAAAAAATGA